TCTTATATTCTTCAGTAACTTAACAGCAGACTACATAATGAATAGAGCTTCTTTTTAGGTTCACAGGGTCTAAGTGTTTTCTTTAGTGCATTTTTTAACTATTATGTGTACCAGAGAGAGTAATTATCCTTTTATTCTTAAAAGAGGTAAGAGTGATTTAATTTTTCCATTCTTCCAATTATGTGTCTATTATATCGGTAACATAGCTTTCACTAACATAAAATTCAAATATTTGGCATCTTTGCCCTTAGGTCTCTACTTTTACTTCATTACAGCTTGCTGGTCTTAGAAAAAAAAAAAGGAGGTGGGACCACATGTAAAAATTAGAAGTTATTTGATGAGTAAAAGGAGAGAGTTATATTTCTGCAGTATGACAAAATGATTAATCTGTCCACTTTAAATGTTGAATATATTGAAACATTTAAATGCATTGATGAGCACAATAGAAAGTAAAGAATACTCTGAGGCAAAACTAAATGAAAGTATAAAATGAAAGTTAATGAAAGCAGAATACTGATACTACCTTCCACCTTGAGGGCAACTGCAAATTCTAGTGAATTTTAGTTTTAACTTTCATAGATTTGCAGAATATAGGGAATAAAGAGAAAAGTCCAGTTGTGGCTTAAATTAAGAAGTATAATTCCATAATAGAATTAGATCCATCAAAGAGGCTAGATTCTAAAATAATTGTAAATGGGAAACAAATATCCACTCCTAAGAGTTTTACAAGAGGATATTCCTGTCCTGAATCCTAGTGCTAAATGAAAGGGGAAACTAATCCTTCTAGCTAAAAACCAGGCTCTATGTTGAATTCTAGTGTAACTTGACTTGTGCTATGAAAAAAATCATCAATGCAATATCACAATTTAAACTGCTCCTAGGTTGGTCTAGGCCCCAGGGACGTGGAAGAAACAATTGCAGATTTCCTCTGAAAGAATTTGTCTGTAGAGCATGCCACAAATTGTTCCCACAGTTAAAGTCCTAAGAAACACAAGTATATAATAAAAAGCACAAAACATTCAAGGAAATAAGAACTGCCCATTGGAGCCTCCAGAAATACAAGACAGAATACCATGAATGATACATAAAACATACTTCATAGATTGTACAAATAAATGATAATCCTGAATAAATTAAATAAAAAAACAAGAAATAAAGAGACCAAGAGGATTTGAGATAAGACTCAAGAGAATGCTGTGATATTGAAAACTACTGTTTGAAGTCAAGGTCCCTGGAAACAGACTCTAAAAGAGAGATTTGCATGCAGGAAGTTTATTTAGGTTTATTCTTGTGGAAAAACATCTCTAAGGCAAAAAGCAAAAGCTGGAGTGAGCAGAAAGCAAGAGAGATGCAGTTGCAATAGAAGCC